TCAGCAGAGATAAATAATGGTGAAATATGTCTTTTTGGATAGCAAAATGCCTTCATGTTTTCAAGCAAGCTTTTCCAGAAGGTATCAGTACAATGCTTTCCGATTTCTAACTTGGGGCAATAACCTCTAATGTAATTCAAATAACAGGACATAAAAAGAAGTAAGAAAAGGAAGGAAATTGCCTTTAGAAGTAGTCTTCGACTATTGTAATTACAATTTGCCACTGCTGCTGGATTCTGACACACAATATCAAGAGCACTATCAAGCAGCAAGGACGAATCCAATGTGTTTGCCTTACAAACTGAAATGGGCTTTTTGCTTCTGACAATAATGGAGAAACCAGCCTATCTTTTGGAATAGAAATAGAAATGGCACCATTATTTATATGACCTGTAATTTACCTTTTCACCTCTCTCAAGAATATCTAGACAGATACTGTTCATTTATACAGTTGAGTAACCTCTTTTAAAACCACATTGGCATTATGAAGATGGCACGAGCAGGGTTTTGTTAGAAGTCTACTCCATGTTCATTGCAATGTAGTGGTCTTGGCTAGATCAACACACGTGAAAACCATATCTGCAGAAGGCTGCAAAGACAGACAGCTCTTAAATAGCTGAATAGCTTTGCAAAAAGCTGCATTCTCTTTAAATGAAGCTGGGAAGAATCTTGTTAATTCAACTCTGTTTGGGATAATTGTGGAGTCATCATCATGACTCCTTCACACCTCCATGTTCCTACACCAAAGGCATTCTCAGATAACAACATTCTGTGCTAGCTACTCTGACACTTGGTTTTTGGGGACAACTGGGACAGAAAGAAATTAAGCCCCTGTACTTTACCTTTATAATAAAGGAATTTTCCACTTGCTGATCAAGGCATGATTGTCAAGAAAAAATAAGACCAAAAGGCAGCTTTACATGTTGGCATAGGCCATGTATAGAACATACAGGGAAGGCTTCTAACTACTGTTAAGCAACAGTATAGCTTAGCAAACTCAAAATAAAGCAAGCTAATATTTCTGTTAATGAACTCTTCACAGAGTCTGTATATTTAAAAGGCTACATATGGCGTTATATTACATTACATTATATTCTTTTAACTGTATTTTCTCAACTATATTCTATTCTATTGCACTGTATAGAGGAATGTATAACTGAAACTATGACCTGCCAAAACGCAGGGTTACAATTTGACCACGAGGTGGGAGCATTGCTCATCACACATACCCAGGGCACATTAGGCTTCCTCTTTATGCACTAGCTGTTCAAGATACAAATATCCTGTGTATTTCTGTGTTGTAACCTGCAAATGTTCATGTTACCACTAGAATAATGAGCTCACAGGATAAACACAAAGAAAAAAGAGAATGTTTTGTTTTTCTGCACTTGCTAGCTGAAAAATAATATTTGAATAAATTGTGTTTTGGTCCCCGGAACAAAGAGTTGCACTGAAAACTTTGTATTAACATTACAGAATTTATTCCCAGTAGGGAAAAAAATAGGAGGTGGTAGAGCTAACCTGTGAAAGTAGTAATCATAGAATAGTTTGGGTTGGACATCTAGTCCAACCCTCCTGCAGGGATGGGGCATCTACCAGCTCTCTGGGCAACCTGTGCCAGCGTTTCACCATCCTCATCACAAAAAATTTCTTCCTTAGATCTAGTCTGAAAAGAGGAAGAATAATTTTCTCATTTGTTATCAGTTTTGTGAGCAGAAAAAAATTGCAAAAAAAGTTTGTAAATGTAGATAAAAGTTATTTCCATGTGACTGCTTTCAATTTTCCATTCAAAGTGTTGAAAAGCAACTATTTCACATGGGAAAATCAGGTTTTCCAAAATGGTTTAATAATGTTCTATCCCACAGGAAACATTTGATAAACTACTTGTGCTGATGATGTCTCTGATAGGGCTGTGTCTTTATGTGGGAAATGGCAGCCTCATCTCTCTTTTCTTGGAACTGAAAAAAAGGGCAGTACTGAGTAACAACTAGTATCTCCCACAGAAAAAAACAACAAAAAAAAATAATATGAAGATTAAATTAACGTGAGGAGACTAGCCTGTGTTCAAGAGACTACAGAGGATTTTGAAGCTGTTAAGATTGAAATCTAAGGCATGACTGCAGCTTACATAGCCATCCTCAAGCTAGCTCTCAAGTAGTTGGCTTTGGTACAGATAGACTCAGTGGTGTGAAGCTCTGGCTAGATGCACACGCAGCCCTCGCTGTCTCAGCGAGCCTGATCCCTGTTTCTGGAGGCATGCCCACTTAACTATTTTTGGGTAGTGTCAAGGTAGCTCTGACAGAAATACTTCACACCTGTGAATACAGTGTAGACATGCAGCTTCAATGTCTTGGTGACCACATGGGACAGTATTCTATGTGTCCCTGGCCACATGGTTCCCCATGTAGTAGAAGGGCAAATGTATTAGAAACATTTTGGCATGTCTGTATTCCTATAACAAGATATTATGATAACTTCCTTTGTACATGCTCAAAAAGCAATTTGGACACAGTCCCTGCAAAGATTTATGCAACATATCCTCTGCAGCTTTCTCCTCTGGGTGCAGGGTGCCTGCACAGTAAGACAGGGTAGCAGACTGACCGCAGCTGGGTGCAGGGCTCTAGCTGATGCTAATGGGTGGTGGTGAGAAAGCTGAAGCCCTCATGGTAAATCTACACAAATGGGCACTCGTTTAATACAAATACATCCCAGCTACATACTGAATAAAGGATGTAAAACCCAAGTACACTTGACCCTGCAAAAAGTCCAGGCTGAGTTTCACCCACCAGCAAACTACATGTGGTGATGCATTTTAGCAGTAACCTCAATCTTTCTAACTTGCCCACTTAATCATTTTTTTCCAGCATGTGAAAAAGCATGTACTGGCATGTGAAAAAGCATATGTTTAGGTAAATTGATCTTTCGAGGTCCCTTCCAATCCCTAACATTCTGTGACTCTGTGAAATGTTTCAGTAGTGTGCAAACAGCTATGTATTATCCATGGATAATGTTCCTTTCTCCACATCCCTCACATGGCTGATAAGGAGATTGGCTCTGGAGTGAGTACTGGACAGAACAGATTGCACAATATTTATCAAAATTGCACAAAATAGACACGCCACCCTAGCACTTTCCTTCCCAAGACACGTCATTCACAATTTTTCTCCTGATTTCTATCAATGAGATCATTAGCTATAATCTGTCTCTACAGTATCTGAATGAAAAACATTCAGCCTACAAATTGTCCTTACATGGTTACAGTTGCTTATTCACTGTAATCAACTGGTCCCATGGTATTGGTCTTTTCCCTAAGGGGATGAGCAGAACATTTTCTTACAGGACAGCCAACAGACATTAAATAACTAACACCACACAAAGACTAGCAACTTGCAAGGAACTAAATTCACACCCTCACTCTTCAAGTCAGCATGAAACATTAACTTCTTTGTCCTCCAGCCCAACTAAATAGTTGCCTCTAACCTTTCTGAGACCTTGATAGTGCAAGCCTTTAAATGCAAAGTTAGGGATTCACAGGTCTACTCTCTTGGTTGGGTTTATGCTCCTGAGTCCTTCTAAAGAAGCTCCAGTCTTTCTGCATCCCCCTGGTCCTGTTAGGGCTGCAGCCTTCCAGCACAGCCACTCCTCAGCCATCACCCACTGCAGTGGGAAGAGTAGTCATTCTGTCCGTTAATTCTTCTGGGGCCTTGAGAGTTACATCCAGCACTGCACATATTCATGAACATCTGAAGAGTTGCATGCTATTTGAGTATTTGTGCTTAATTTCTGCATAACCACAGAAAGAGTTGTGAATGGTACTTGTTCAAGGCTGTTTTCCTGACAGACACTTAACTCAAGTGTGTAAATAATAAGACCTCTTAACAAAATAATTGAATTTTCCTAAACAATTGTTGGTAAGGGGTCTCTTCAAAAAAAGTACATATTTATGTGTCTGAAATTAACACATCCTTCTAGATTAATCTCTCAACATTTTTAGTTGAGGTATCACTTTGCTAGAGCAATTGTGAATTTTAAGTGTTTTCTTAACAGGAAGCAATAAAAGAAAACACGGTATCATTCTAAACTGCAGTACTTACAATCAGGTTGTCTTTCTTGACCATCAAATCAAAGTACTGCATTATTTACATTGAGGAATAGCCATGTTTCAGTGGATTTCACTGAGACATACACAAAGAAAATGTCAGCTCTAATATTTATTCCTCTTTATTTTGCTACTTTTAATACTTTAAAAAAGGCTTTTGGAGAAACGTGGGTGCAGATACTATCTCAGAGCCCTGTGGTACACAGCTGACGAGGTGCAAAAGAATAAACATGCCATAGACCTTACAGATGTTTCTCCACTTTGCTGAGGCTACTAAAATTTCTGTTGACCTCTACACTAGGTTCAGACTCATTTGAAATGATTCCCAGTTGCCCAGAAAACCAGAGATTGATTCAGTTCAACAATGTTTCAGCAATATCCCCCTTTTTTTTTTAGCATCCTTAATAGGACCTCTCTGCTGACATGCTCACTCCTGCTTGCTTCCCACACCTCTGGTTCAACAGTGCTTGGCAACTTCCCCCTTAGACAATTAAATTAAGAAAGCCTTGTGTTTGTATTGCTGCAGTATAACATGCAATCATGAAAAACAGGGGCACCTTGTGCAGGTTATTCCTTAGCTCTGATTTTGCATCTCCCATCCAGCCTGTCCTTACAGAGAGCAGAATATGGCCCAAAAAGAGTCAGAAGGATAGAACCTCACAAATCCGCATTTCCTATTAAGGAACTCTCATAATCCAGGATTTTTCTTCCAGGCACTGCACGAAAATTGATGTATAAGGCTTACCAACAGAACAACTAAGTGGTGCTAGGCATTATGTGAAAGGGATGATTTTCTGCCAGAATGCCCCAATGGCTTTTGTCGAGTCTATTACAACTGTTTCCATCAAGTCTGTTTCTGGTTACCACATATTTTTTTGGTTTTAGAATAAACTGTGAGTGTTTAGGAGATAATAGATTGCATATTAAAACGGGTGACAAAATGTAATAAAATGTCATCCTTACCATCTGTTTTCTTTGATTCATCCCCCACACTAGACTTATCTTTTTTGTCCAACTTATTGTCTTCCTTTAATTCACCTAGAAAGAAGCAATAAGAAACACTATAAGCATTTTAATGGAGACTGCAGTTTATTAATGCCTGTAACTCAAGCAAACTGCATCATCCAAAGGAGATGTTCCTTAGGAGAAAAGGTCTGAATTCACAAGGAACTAGTGAATAATTTCTTTATAGAAAAAAGCACTAGACAAAATTTATCCAACTCCTACAGAAAATCAAGTTTTACAATCTACTTTTACACTCATCCTAATTGTTAACACCTTTTAAATTGTATATGCAAACTCATACTCCTCTCTGGTTGTATGCAGGCCATCAAAAACCTGAGCACAACCTTCACTTCAAATCAGGACTCTGAAGCATTTATGCTTTTAAAGAACTAAGACCCTACAAGACTTCATAATAAGTCTCTGTCTTAAAGAACCACCATAGATATCCCACACAGTCCTATATAACTTTGTCTTACTTTGTTTTGTCAGCTTCCTTTATCCACAGATTCATTTGATGATGCTATCAGGGAGCAAAGAATCATCCCAGCATTGATCACCAGCTTGGTCTCTATAGCAAACCAGGAAAGCAAGGCCTTTGGTAGAGCAATGGTTGATGCAGAATGAAAATGGCAACTTTAGCTGGGATGTATTTTCTGAAGTCAGGAAGGTTAACTGGGGTCATTCTTGTTTTCTGTCCTCTATTAGTCACACAGCAGAGCACATCAGACCTTCATAGACCATCTCTTCATTGAATGAGAATGACAAATGCCAGATCAAATGAAAAATAACTTCTAGGAAGAGCTCTAGCAGAACAGGGCTCTTTCAGCAGCGGTGTCCAAACAGCAGCAAAGAAGGTGTCCTTCCTTCAGATGTCCAGAGAAGCAACAGCAGCCTGCCCAGATGGGAGCAGGCAGCTTGTCCTTTTCCCTGGAGGAGTAGCAGTGAATACCACACCTCAACACAAAAAGCTGTAAAAGTCTCCCTTCAGAATTTTGTAAATGTGAGGTATGTTACAGGGCTGTATTGAATAAATGCTTGTTCCATTTGTATTACTGTTACTATAATGATTTCACAGCCTCTGGATCAAGATTAGAGGTATTATGTGTTACAGAGGATCTGATCTGCCTTCAAAATAGTCATGGCCAACGGATACTTATTTTTGTAACAGCTCAAAAAAAAAGAGAAATTTTAGAGAAGCACCACATTGTGCCCTAACCACTAGGATATCTGTTATTCTTGGATGACAGAGGATTGATCCCTCTCTCCAATTGTTTCATCATAGTATAAAAGAGGAATGGTTTTCAGATCTTAAAATATTTAACAAGATGGAAAAAACATGTCCTGTTCTGTTCTCATTCAGAGCCAAAACTTTTCATGTTTTGCTTCCTAAGCTCACTGTATTGGTGAGAGAAAAATGAAAGTGTGATGATACAGGACAAGCAGCAACCTTCTCAGCTTATCACACTGCCTCTCCTTGAACAGAGAGGTATGAGCAGGTCCAAGCAGGGTTAAGGTGTCTGCTTGATGAAGGTGGCCTCTAAAAGGAGGACACTGTCTTCAGGAGAGGAAATGAAAATGTATCTAGCAAAGCACAAAAGTCTTCTCACATTTCCTCCACCATCATCTGGCTGACGGTAATGATGAGTTAATAATGCTTTATTTGACCACTGCATAAAGAAGTTGTTTGACCCTACGTATGTGGAAGAAAAGATGATGAACACTCACACATACGTTATTTCATATTTTGATCTCTCTGAGAAAGCACACAGGCAGTGAGCAACTGAGAGAGACTTCAAACTCATCCGACAACACAATTTCTGAATTTTCATTGAATACAAGTCATTATGAATAGGGGACTTTGGAGTATTGTAATATCTTCCCTGCCATACTGCCAGCAGCAGAGCAGAACGATGATCATCATGATCTTTTTGAAAAGGATTACAAAGGCAAAGAAATAATAAGGCAAATACTTTACGATTAGCTATTAACATATAGGCGTAAAGGAAGCTGTGGTGAACTCAGACATAAGAACGTTGAGATTTCATCATTCTCTAAAGACTCTGCAGTGATTGTACCTCATAAAGGCCTTTTTCCATAAATTAAGGAGCAGAATTTCTTTTCCTGAGGAAGATACTAATTTTCAGAAATCATTATCATTCCTTTCAAAGCATTTTTGACATCTGCAGCAGAGAGACACTGCAGAAAAAGGTACTGTCAAAATTACCAGAGCACACGTAACCCCCGTATTGTTAGAAGCATGTAAAACAAAGGATTCAGAAGAAAAGTCTGATGCAGTCTAACTGGGATTTCATATGTCCCCAAACTTTTTGTCTGCTTGGGGGCCCATTGCTAGTCACCGATGCGACACTGTCTGAAGACAAATCTCATATGTAACAGAGCATGACAGCTCGGATCCCCACAGTCCTTCCAATCTAACAAAAAAAAAAAACTAATGATGAAGGAAGGGATCACTGGGAAACGCCAGCAGCCAAGTGAAATACATGACAATCAAATCAGAAATGTTTTAAACAGAATTTCTGCCTCTGCTGCCATCAAAACTCTCTGCCTGAGTCTGGGACTTTCAAAGTCTGTATGCTCACTCCACCTTTTTGGGTGTAAAATGTGATTGTTATTTTAACCCGGTTCTATAGCAAGTTAAAACACTGGAATAAAATTTCTGACCAAAAAACAAATATCTCCAAAAAAAAGCTTGTGACTTCCCTAATAAAAAAGTTGAGCTGGATTTGTATTTCAGTGGAAGGAGAGAACTCACCATTCTGGACATGCTGTTTCTCTTCTCCCACTGTGTGATGAGAGTCTGTTCCCTTATCTGTCCTAGGTGTGTTTTTCCCTTGAGAGGCTTCGTGTTTGTTCACCCCAGTTTGCCGAGTCCCATTTACATGATTTTTATTGGAATCCGTGTTTGTGTTTTCCCCAGGATTTGGTTCTTTGCTGTTCTCCGTCTTTGCTACTGTAGTATCTTCAGCTGGCTTCTTCTCATCCTTTTCATCTGTTTTCTTTTCATCTGTTCCCTGATGAGCATTTTCTTCTGCTTCTTTCTTAGCTTTTTCTTCTGCATCCTCAGCAAAGAGAGAAGTAAAATGAGGAAAGAAATCATGATTATAAGTCAATTTGACAAGAATGATACAACTCACACATCTAAATCTACTTTAGCTTTTTACATGCAAACAGCTTTTACTTAGATAAATGTAGGAATTGACTTGGAAAGGGAAAAAGAACACAGTAGAACATTTAAGAAAGTATTCTGAAAATTCACCACATGTTGGCCTAAATGTATATTATGTGCATATCCTTTTTTACCATATAAAGCTCACCTTTGAAATGTGGCTCCTCAAAATTCTTAAAAGGCAAATTAAAAAGAGATATTAGCTCTTGAAAGCTCTAGGGGTGCCAAGGCTACTTTCATTTCTGACACACAACAATCAGTCAAACAACATTCAGTTTATCTCATATCGTACCATGTAACTCTAAGCACATAAAAAGCCTTGGTTCTTTGATATCTGCTTTTTCCTCCTCTTGTTCCAGGTTGATTCCAATGCCAGCTTCCTAATCTCTTCCTTTCCATTTACTGTTATCCTTTCTTTATGGCTCTGTCCTCTCTTGGCAGACTAATATATTGCTACTGGTACTTGCCCTTCCATCTCGAAAAATCTTACAGTCGATCACAAATATGCAAAGGTATAAATGTAAAAACTGAGTGTTGAACAACACCAGCATCTCAAAATATGATCATTTAGGGAAAAAAACAACAACAAAAAAAGGCAAAAAGCAAAAACCAAACCTTACAGAGAAGTAAATTTCCCCCATTCTAGATACTGCTCTTGTTCTTATCCAATCCTTAGGTCCTGATGCAACATTTACTTATAACATAGGTTGCAAATTACGTTTTTTAACCAATTGCACTTTGTGATAGGAATCCCAGATGTATCTTCTGTTTTCTGAGAGACTGTGTAAGCTGATGAGCAGAGGAGCAGATCTTATAAAACACTGCATAAAGTCTACCTTGGTCCTATGGAATTATTCTTGACATCTACAGGGAAGATGCTTTGTTTCGTACAGCAGCAGGGTCTTGGCCAGTGAGTAGAAACTACAAAAGAATTTCTAAGTGTCTTGTCACGTACTTTTTATGGGTGAATCAGAACCAGTTTTGAGGAAAATGTACCAATGGGATACCAGAGAGAAAGGGGGAAGCCATCTTTATAAGAAATGCCAATCTGTATTTCCTTGCCAGCAGCTAACTAAAGTTAATTAATTTTTAAATTAATAAATTGCAGCTCACACAAAAATATAATTAAATTAGATATGAGTCTCCCCCTCACTTTATTAATCATTCCTGAAATCGATGGTAGCTTCCATAGATAGCTCAGCTATGCACGCTGATATTTTCCCTGGAGTCTTAGGGTATACAGATATTCCTCTCATTTGGGAATCTGAAAAAAAAACAAACTGCTGCATTTTGCACCTGAACCACAGGAGAGAAATTCAGCTCAGGAGACTGGGGCTTGCTACAGCACCATTGGATGAGTGCCTCTAGTCAAAATTAGTGTCAGAAAATAGTTTATCTAAATGGTGCTTTGCACATCAGGGTGTTTGTTTATTCAGTTTTTTAATCTGTAGCTATTTAATGATGAACCTTTAATCAAAAAAAGAGATCAGTAATAAACCCACTTACTTTGCCCACACAGTCCAAGGCATTTTCTATAAATACCACACTCAGGATAAAAACAGCTCCCTGATGCTTCTAGAGACAATGCCTTTACCTAAGGGAATACCGTATTCTACAAATAATTTAATAGTAATAATAATTAATAATAAATAATAATAATAGATGGGTTTCCTTCCCTTCTGATCCCCAGTTGCTATTTGTTGATGATCAGCAGTTAAATCCTTTATCTATCTTCTCTTAATAATTCTTAGTTTTATTGGTAGAGCATCTTGATGCATTGCAAGACACTGGTTTGATGGGGGTCAGCAATTTAAACTCTTGCTGTGCAGCAGGTCCTGCTACATATGGCTAAGAGAGGCAAGGCAGATGGAGGGGGGAGCAAAGACTTTCTGCAAGTCAGGAGCAAGACAGCAGCTGAGCAAAGGTTTTGATGTCAGGGCTCTGGCGTAGAAGAACAGGTCTGGCTTAGTCCCCAGCCCATACAAAGGCATGCTGAGCCATATGTATGTATAAATCTTTCAAGATTAAAAAATATGCACCCTTATAAACGCACCCAGAAACACAGAAATTAGTTGAAGTCAATGAAGATGAAGAGAAGTTGAGACTGCTTTCTGAATCTTTGACCCATAAACCGGGGCCCTGATCCAAGATATTGGTGATGAAGTTTGGCAAAGACAAAGTAACACAACTATTCAGGGCTAAAGGTTGTCAGAAAGGTAAAGATAAAATGATCTACTCAAAGGCTCCCATGTCTACTGGTGAGATCTCTGCTTTCCAGTGAACAACTAATTCTTCCATTGACTGCCCTCTGGAGCTGCTAGAAGGATATTTTTATGAGGCAATTAAAAATAAAACATTTTTCTCTCCAGCTAAAATTTTAATAACTAAACACTTATCATCAAGATACTCTGTAAATAATGGATATGAAATCCTGCATCAACACGTTACCAGTGGCAGCATTAGTTTAGCAATGTGTGCACATCCACTTGCATCACAACTTGACATTTACATGTGCACATTAAGAAAAAAGTCTTTATGCAAAGCAGTCACTGAAAGTGGGTACAAAGCACATTTTAAAGTTAAATACCCAGAATCTACTATGATCTACTCTATATATTTGTTTTAGGTGAAATGTTAGATATGTTTTATTTATTTCCCAATAGGTCTCTCTTGCATATAGGATTTTTATCTAGCAGATCCTTAGTAAAGAAGTAAATACATAGGTACATGTTGAAATGAAAACCTTAAAACTAGTTAACTGTATTGGCTTTATTCATTCAACACTCCTATACTGTTAGACACTGACCATGTTAAGTATTTTCCTTGTTCAGTTACCTTTAATTTGTTTGGTTCGCAAAGAACCATGAAACAGTAAATACAAAGTAAAAAAAAATAATAAAAAAAAGCCCCTAGCAATTAAGTAGACCTTGAATTATGTTTTTGTTTTCATTTTCATGGAATGCCTAGAAAGGCTTTTCCTGAATGGCAAATTTTAATCACAATGGAAAATTTAATTTGAATAATAATGTGTGCTTTCCTACACCTTTAGACAGGCCTTTCAGTTGGAGAGGAACAATCTGCTCTGGCAAATAGGAAAACTACGCCAAATCTTCCAAATATTCCATCAGCCCTGAAGCCAAGGCCACATAATACATTAAAATCAAACTCCTTCCATTTACATGAAATACAGCTCCATTAAATAAAGGTCTGGGTAACAAGCATTCAGCTCAAAGAAGAAATTGTATCACAAACGCTTTCATGAAAAAAAAGAAGAAAATAATTAGTAACACATTCCTCCTTTTTTGGTTCCAAACCTGGTCTAAATCACCCCAGGCCTCAAGGAGACCTTGGGCCATCATCCAGCCCCTGCAGGAAAGGGGCAGTTATACCTAAATCGTTCTCAACAGATGGCTCTCATTGATTCCAAAAGATCTCCAACAACAGACATTTGCCAATGTCTAACCTATTATCAGGTTAAAATCACCAGGCAACTTTTTCTCCTCTTAACAGCCCAGGGTATTTGAATAAAAAAGTAATTCCCTTATTTTTAAACTGCAGTAGTCTTCAGAAAACTGCTTTTAGCTATAACACTTCTCAGCTATAAACAACAGTTGCCATCATTACATTGCTGTACTCTATTGTCTGCAACTGGTCCATATATTTCCCAAACTAAAGCAGCCAAAACTGGATACAGCACTGCTGAGGGGGCCTTGTTACTGCTGGGAAGATGAGAAGAATGCCAGAGGGGTGTTGGAAGCAAGGGCTGTTTTGTTTGGTTTGGTGTGGGTTGGGTTTTTTGGTTGGGTTCTTTTGTTTGTTTGTTTTCTCAAGTAGCATGACAATACTGAACCCTGGTCACCTTGCATATTTGCAGTCCCAGATTCATGACATCATGAGCATTTGCAGCACAGTTCCCAATTCATTATCCAAATTATCACTAGAAATACAAAACCAGCTGTCAATCCAGAATATCCTGTCCTTCTCCCCCAAACTATCATCCATACCTCTTTCAATCTTAACAGTGAGCAGCTGATAACCTATCTCTGCAAATGCTGTTCCAGCTATTTTCGCACCCATCCTGAGTCTGACTCATGACTTTAGGGGACCTCCCTTACAATTATTTTTTTTTCCTCCCATTGTCCACATCCTCTTCATTACGTACACTTACACCACGTAAGAAGAGTATAAGGCACAGATGAGTCAGAGTATTCCTGTCTTTCTGAACTCACTGTAGGTTGTTGACTTTGAAAAGCAGATTCTTTCAAACTAACAGTGCTTACTTGGAGAATAATTTGATTGAAGAGAGCTTGAAGAAGAAGAGGTCAAAATAATTTTTATTCTTTCCCTAAGAAGCCTGGCTGTTACCTTTGGTAGCTTGAGCTTTCCATTTCTCGCGGTTCTGCTGCACCACCTCAGTCCAGGTGGCTTTAAAAGATTTGAAGTCCACAGTGAGTATGGAACAGTTGAGTGAGGCACTTCCTTCGGACCCAGTGCTCTTGACACTTGATCTTTTAACTTCAGAAGGACTAATGCTATTCAGACTGGGACACAAGATCACAAAACAGAAGAAATCAGTATCCCATGTGCCCAAATACAGCGACGAAGAAATAATGACTTTAAGTATAGATAACTTCACAGAGTCAACCAGGAAAAACAAAACTTAGGCTTGAATCCCTCATCCTCCTCTCCCTCCCATCCCACAGCAACCGATGTTAAGGCAAACAGCACAACCTGAACCAGTATTAGAAACAAAGGGCAGCTTTACCCTGCTTATTTTTTGGTAGCCACAGTCCCTAAAAAATAGAATCACTCAAAGTGTTGCCATTACCTTTGTTGTACATCTTCACTCCCTAAATATTCATTGGAGAGTCAGATAATTCTAGAAATCAAGTATGTCAAAGGAGGATTCCCCTAAAATTCACCAATGGGAGCCATTAGGCACAGGACAGGAGGCCAAGGTCTGTTAGGGCTTGGTGACCTCAGCTGAGGCTGAAATCAGGCACTCATCTCAGTTCCAGACCTTGCAGTTGCCTTTCAAGGATGGACACTTCATTGTGCACATTTCAATAAAGGCAGCAAGGTAACTGACATAGAAAGATACTAGTGCTTGCTCTTTGTGTAAAGAAGTCACCTGGGAGAGGGAATTCTAACTTGGTAGCCCTACTCTAGGCAGCACTAGCCACATGGCAATTGAGTCCCAAGACTTGCCCTGTCCATGAAACTACTAGAAGAGCAGTTTCTCTATACCAGTAGAGCAGGTTTAATGGGCCAAGACTCCTTACATGCAAACTCCAGGTGAATTCTGGTGGTACTTCACACATTTGTGTAACCTAAATACTGTTACTGAAGTGTGCTTATACTTCCCCGTCCTCTTTTCAATCCCATTTATACTTCTAGACATGTAGAAATGAGTGCCTCCCAACAACTCCCTCTACCTTCCCTTTGACATTAGTGACTGAGATAGCACTGACGTTCAAGATTGCATGGCTACAACCTTTTGTGCTCACTGCCTTTAGAGGTACTCTTCAGTTTCATGCCAACCTTCCTATTTGCCTTCCCCTGGGCTAGAGTTTCCCTAAAACAAAGTCATGTCCTGCAGATATGGGCCCTTAAGCCACATGGAAGACATATGCCATGGGGCTGAAACTGGAGGAGCTGGGTGGAATGGCAGCATGTGCAGAGCAAAGGGAGAGGACGCGTGGTTATTCACCTGGAACGCCTGAACCCAGACATGCCAGAGCGGGAAGCTTCATCGATGAGCGGAGTCACAATCTTCTCGGTCATGTCAGTCAGTACAGTAAAAGTAGGTTCCACGATGAAATCAATGAAACCTGAACAGAAACACAAGTGCAGTCAAGTGAGCAAGGAGAGGATTTATGCGGAGTCACTGCTTCAGTGATCACAGACAACCACACTGTAAAAGACAGTGTAAAAATATTATACCTTGAAGGAGGGATAGGCAAAGACTAGAAAGGGAAAACGGAGTTATACATCAATCCCTGACCCAAGAGCTTGGATATAACATGCAATAAAAGATACCTACTTAAACCCTGGAAAGAAACTGTGGCAAATCAGAACATAAACAGATGCATCAGAACTTGTTTTATATGAGGAGTGCAATATTTAAGCCAAATTCCTAGTGGATTTGGGTAAAACCCAGTTTCAAGGATGAACTCTCTAAAAGTAGAAAATTATTGTAACAGTAATAATACTGGTAAGCTTTGCTGGTGTGGAGTTATGTGCAAAGCTCGCTTACTGCATATCAGTAGGTTGCTGGGAATATTCTCTCCTCAGTGCTCGGCCAGTTTGTTCTTCTTGATAATAAAACAGATTTAGATGCATTTCCGCCCATGTTTTAATATAAGGAAAGGAAAAAAAATAAGGGGCCAAATAATTTCTACTTCAGGGTACAGTTTGGCAGAGATGAACACAGCTCTGATCTCGCTGTTGTGAAGGGTAGACAGAAGGGCCCTGTGGCCATAAGCTCATAAGATGAAGAAAATCCAAGTTGCATGGAAAAAAAATGTGATAGTTAGGAGCTCACTGTACCTTACACCTTCCCCTAAATTCTCACCTCGGACAAGGGCTATTTCTTATGTCAATTTTAGAACATCACTTAGCAAATTTCTTAATGCTGCAAGTAGCCAAGAAAATAATGATGTCCTTAAT